TAGAGTCTCCCTTAAAAGTGCACCTTAGAGGGGCACCCGGGTGGCTCAGTTGGTTAAGCGTCCGACTTCAGCTCAGGTCATGATCTCATGGTTCGTGGGTTCAAGCCCCGCATCGGGCTCTGTGCTGACAGCTCAGAGCCTGGAGGCTGTTTCAGAGAGGGGCTGTGTCTCCCTCTCTCTCTGACCCTCCCCTGCTCAAGCTGTCTCTCTCTCTCTCTCAAAATTTAAAAAAAAAAAAAAAGTGCACCTTAGTTTGTCTTCCAGTTAATAAAAATTTCAATTAGCCAACTAACAAACCCTCAGGTTACTGGCTTAGGATTGGAATGGCTGAGCCTTCTTTCCTGGGCTGAACATTACAGCACAGTTTACACGGCTTTCCAGTTTCCACCAAATGATACCAGGGACAGATGGTAGGGAAGGAGGGAACTTTCTTCTTTTTTCTTTTCTTTTTTGGAAATATTTTCTTTAGAGCAAGAGTCGGCAAACTTTCTCCATAAAGATCCAGATAGCAAGTTATTTAGGCCTTTTGGGACAAGAGGCAAAATATGCCATATAGGTGCTTCTATAGCAGAAGAGAAAATTCCCACCTGGTCCTGCCCCATTTGCCTGCAGTGGGCCATCCCCAAGGCTGGATATGCTTGATGCCCAGCTACCAGTAGTGGGAGACATTCTCAGGTCAAAGAGCCACTGGCCTGATGGGGAGGGGCTTGGCGAACAGTGTGGGTTGGGTGGCTGCTAGACCCTGGCGTGGGAGTCTGGTCACCTCAGCTTGGGCCGCTGGTCAGGAGGGAGGCAGTTTGCCAAGTTGCCAGTGCTTGGACTGGGATTCCACTGCTTGGTCCCTGACATGTAGGCGGTGAGCACTGTGGGCTCTGGGCAGGGGCAAGGTTTGGCCACCAACCAGGGAGGCTGGTGCTGGGAGTAGAGGGGGGATCAGGGGCCAGGGCCACGTATGAATTCTGTGGGTCCTTGGTACTTTTGCCTTCATGGGCCCTTCCTCCATAAAGACATATTAAAGATTATGTTTTATAATTGTGTTTGTATAAAAAAGGCATAATGCAGGCTTAGATTAGGTTCTTTCTTTCTGGTTTTAAAATAAAATAGGCCCTTAAAAGTATTGTGGGCCACAGGCCCTGTGTGTACTGGGCCTAATGGGTAGGTCAGCCCTGACTCTGGCAGAGGGAGCCACCTGACGTAGGCCTCTGTGGCCCACAGTGCTAGTCTGCTGGAGCAGTGCCTGCGGGCTGTACAATGACAAGCAGTGGGCTGGATTTCACCTGTGGGTCATGGTTAGCTGCCCTTTGCTCTAGATGGCCGAAAGGCAGTTAGCTGAGAGAATTTCCAGTGGCCTGTAGGACAACTAAGAAAGGATGTGATCACCCAAAGTGACTGGTAACCACTACAGAGAGTTAGGTCTCCTGCCAGGTCCTGTCCCCCCACCTTTATATTTTTCTTAATGAAGTAGTACTCATTAACAGAAAGGTACATGAAACGTATGTGTACGACTAAACGAGCTATTGCAAAGCAGACAGCCATCCGGTCAAGAAATAGACTACTGCCAGCACTTCTAGAGGCCCCTCTTTCCCCCTCCCAATCACCACCCCCTCTCTCCACCTATAGGAGGCTACTAACGCATCAATTATATATCAGTTTTGTTGGTATAAATGTAATAATACCACATACGGCATTTCACTCTTTGGTGTCTGTTCTTTTTCAGTCCGGGGACCACCCTTCTGTCTTGAGATTGGTTTTCTTAGAGGGGCTTGGCTGGAGGTAAGCGGGGGTGGGGAGGGGGGCTGGGAATAATCCAGCCAGCCGGCCCCAGGGTGCTCTGCAGACAAGAGATGAAGGTACATTGATGCTACAAAATGCCTAGCGACAGACCCAGATGCCTGACGGGAACACCAGCCATTGGGAAAACCAACCTCACCGCCAAAGTTGATGAAACAGGTCCTCCAGACTGCAGCCTGAAAACCTCTTAGATTCATTTGCCTTCACTTATTAAAAAGATTTATTTTTAATAGGCCATTCAACATCCCTTGAGTGTAAGATGGTAGTTTAACTGCAGCTCACCTCCAGAACACAGGGCTACCACGTGTACCCAGGAGGCCTACACTAGCAACTCCAGGGAGCATCGTTTACGTGGCATACAAGGGAACCACACAGTGCAGTGAGCAGAACGTGGGCGGAACCAGTTGCCTGAATCCAGACCACAGTTTAACTTAGCTTGTGGACGAGGGCCTTCATCAGTTATACATGTCTGGAGACAGGTGCTTCAAATTAGTTAAGTGTTCCGGTTAGCCAGATAGCCTGTTTTCTTCCTCTTCTTCTTTTTCTTCTTTATTAACAACATGCTAAAATGATTGAGTCTGTAGTTGATGATTAAGAAGATCTGACAGGATCTCCTTTGGGTATAAGTGGGGAGAGTGGAGTATAGTGGGAATGTGGGCAGTGATTATGTTTTGAAATCAATTTTCTTTATCTGAGATGTATCTATGAAAGGAAACATCCCTATCTATAAATACAAAGTGTCCAGAACAGGCAAATCCATAGAGACAGAAAGCTGATTTGTGGACACCATAGGTCCCTTTTGGGGTGATGGAAGTGTTCTGGAATTAGAATGTGGTGGTGGGTGCACGACTGTGAAAATACTAAAAATTCACTGGATCATATACTTTAAAAAGGATGAATTTTATGGTATGTGGACTAAATCTCAACACAACTATTATATATATTTTTTTAAAGCAAAGAGATATTGAATCTTACTGAACTCAGGACACCCCTGAAACTATTTTTTCAGAGAATGAACACTTCTCAGCTTTGGGCATGATATTCTTTTTCCCCTAAAGAGAGACCCTGGGGACAGTTGTGCCCTAGAACCTGGGGCAAGTTCACCTGTTACAAACCACTGGAGGAATCCCAAAGCTATCACCTCAATCTTGTGTCTTGCTCCAAAGAATCCTACATCTCTTAAAAAATTCAGCCCAGTACTCTTTTATATATTGTTTCTAAGACAATTCAGTTTTGAGATTCTGACTTGAAAAATTCTAGGATACTCATTTCCAATTCTCTGAAAAGACCAACAGCCAGTGAGGACTCAGGGTTGTCTTCCTTGGAAAGGGGGAAGTTTTCTTTCAAATAACTTAAGATTCTTCCTCATGCCCTGTGCTCGCTCACTCATCAATGGCCCCAAGTAAAGGGGGCTGTAGGTCAAAGGCCCTGAGATTCCAGGCAGACCAGAGCCCCCACACCACAACCTGGCTTTGCCTCTCCTGAGCATGATGCACAGGGGTTGAGCTTGACCAGGAAAGCAAATTCCTGTTGGCAGGGAATCCCCCGGAGCTGGCGGCATCCTGAGTTGCAACTTGGGACGATGTAGCTTAAGAGAGAAAGCATGAGTGGAGGGCTTCTTTTGTGAGTAAGAGACATTTGAATACATCCTGACAGCTGTTTACAAGGCCTGGTCTCTTTTAAGCAGCTATCCAAATATTTTTAGAACCCATGTTCAAAATGGGCACATTCCTATACTATACAGTCAGAGACCCACCAGTGAGGAGATCTTTCTGTCTCCTCAAGAGAACAAGGGATCAAACAAGAACATGTTGGGCCCGCACATAAAGGGACACGGGCTGGTTGGGAACCTTTCCTGCCACTGTGTGTCTGATTTGAGAGCCAACACTGCCAAAGCACGTTCTATGTGCCAGGCACCTTTCTGAGCACTTTACATATTTGAGCTCCTACGCTTCACAATAGCTTATGCAGTGGTAAGAATATTATCCCCACTTGGAGGCACCTAGGTGGTTGGCTCAGTTGGTTATTGTCCGACTGTGGCTCAGGTCATGATCTCATAGCTTGTGGGTTTGACCCCTGGGTTGGGCTCTGTGCTAACAGCACAGAGCCTGGAGCCTGCTTTGGATCCTGTGTCTCACTCTTTCTTTGCCCTTCCTCCGCTTGCACTCTATTTCTCTCTCTTAAATAAATAATAAAATATTACATAAATTAAAAAAAATGTTATCCCCATTTTAAAGAGAAGGAAGCTGAGGCACGGAGGGGTTATTGTGCCCGGAGTCACAGAGAAAGCAGACAGTGCACACCTCTCCTTGCTACATGGCTCATATCCTTCATTGATGCTGTTGGAAGCCAGCTCAGATGACCCAACAAATCAGCACACTTTCTGCTCCCCTGGGAAGAGGCGGCCTATGGAATTTCTCCTGACTTGATATCTTGAAAAGCAGAAGCACTGAGTACTAATCTCAACCTTCAAACACGCTTCAAAACCAAGAAACAAGACAGCCGCACTCCAAGGTGGGCATCCAAATTGTCCTTAGTGCAGCCTCCATCAGGCACTTGGTCTGTGTAAACTCTGTTCTCATCCTTTTGGGCCTTGCCCAGAAATGAAAACTGGTGTCTGTATGATACGAAGAGCGGGAAATGGCCAGGTGAGAACGGGACCTGTTTCTTCAGAGGCCCCAGGGTCCGGAAACGAAGGCTTCCAGTGTGAGCTTGTAGGATAATCTTTTATAAAAGGCTTCTAAATTCCCTAAGTGTGCTGGAATGTGGTATCATTGAAACTGAGATGGTATAAAAGAATGGGCGGGGTGTGGTGCGGATGATGGTGGAGGCCCGGGCCAGTGCCTCATGGAGGGGCTGTCAGTAATTCCACGGACTGGGGCATCCTTCCGGCATGGCTCAGGGCTCACAGGTGCTTAGTTATGGCCCGTTGACCCAGCTGTTCTGACAAGCCTTCATTTTATGGAGGTTTGCGGCAAAACCACTCAGTTTTTCAGGCAGTCAGAAGTAGCTGCACGTTCACCGCCTGCAAGCCACATCGGTGACCGCCCTGCAGGCGTCTGCCCCCCTGAGCCAGCCTACCCTGCCTCACCGGGTCAGGCTCTGGCTAAAAGCTGCTAGAACAAAAATCAATTCACTCCCCCTCAGGCGATACCCTAGCCAGTAAATGCCACTTCAAAACCCAAGAAAGGAATAAAGGAACATGCAGATCCTAGCAGAAACACTGTATTCATTTTGAGGACGGCTATGTTTTAAGGCAAATGTCACACATATAAAACAGGCAAAGATTAATGGTATTTGAACAGTATTTACGACAACATGTTAGAACAGCAGGGGACACAGCTTCGGACAATGAGAAAGAGGGATTTTCCCCAGCCAGGTCACTCTGCTCTGATTTCTCTTGTGGACTGCAAACCGGGGAGAAACGCGGTGCCCTCTTCCTCCCAGGGGACGGTGGGGCGGTCATCGGGATTTCACACAGAAGCACTCTTCTCCGGGCCACGGCACTCTACCTACTGCATTGCCAGGTTCAGGACAGAGCATGTGCCAGTCACTGGATGGACAGCTTTGATGCTTATGTTTTGTGAAGTAATTCACTTTTAGAAACAGGAGAATCAGTTTACAGAAGCCATAAAACTTGTGGTTAGTTCATCTCTATCCAAACTCAAACGTGCTTGGATTGGAGCTAAAACAATGTGTCAAACACACATGCACAGAGGCACTCGTGTGCACACACAACACATGGATATACGTGCGAGAGAAGGAAAGATAAGATCTATCAAAGGCAGAAAAATAGTGAATGTTCATTTGCGATTTGGGATCAAATGATGTGATTGTCTCCCCTTTAAAAACAGAAGGGGACCAGCAACCAGCCAGAGGGTACAGGTTTCCAGGCACCGCTCAGTTCCGTTCCTGGTCACTCCTGGCTTCCCAGGGGATGGGAATGGCATAGCTGGTTTAAAGAGATTTGGAGGGAGCTGGGCTTCCCACTGGCCGGGCCAGCTCTGTGTACCATGGCTCTTCCCCGCTCCTTCCACTCAGGTGCACACCCCCAGCTGTCAATGCAGAAGCTTGCCTGCTTCCATTCTGCACACCCACTCCCAGCACAACGGGACACACATCCTAAGGTGTGTGTGTTCCCCTTCTGCAGGGCCTGGGTGACAGCAATGCCACGGCAACAGGGAAAACAAGAAAATGAAGGAGGCTGACAGTCGGGGAGCTGTTAGTGGCCTGTTGTGAGTGGCAGGGCCACTGCCTGGGTCTTGGAGTCACACGGAAGTCAGGGACGCGGAAATGTGGTGGAAAGTGCGGGTCGCTGAATCAGGAACACTTGAATGACATCAGGAGGTGGCACTTGATGCTACCAAATAACCACAAAGAGAACGAGGGGCGTGACAGAAGTTGCTAGTGCACACAGAGAACAAAGCCCCACTCATAAAAGCTATCTTTACCAGAGAGCAAGGCCTCCGTGGAGAAAGGTATCACTTAGGTAAAAAATAAGAGCATAGGGGTGTCAGCACTTGATACCCAAGAACTGAAATGGTTGTTTTCACCGATTCACTAAGTTTGCCCCACCAAATCCCTCTGAGGTAGGGAAGAGGCAGGTGACATCAGCCCCATTTTACAAATGGGGTGAAGTGAGGCCCAGGACCTGCTGCAGGTCACACCATGGATTCACAGCCACAGCCACAGCCAAAGAGCAGTCTTGTGCCATTCAGCCTTCCCTGTCCCTGCCAACACTGGCGTTCTTTACGAAGCCCCCTCACCTACATTCAAACCCAGTCAGCAGGCATCTGGAAGAATGCAGACATTTGACTTATAATTGAAACTTTGATGTACTGGCAGGAAAAGAAACCAAGCCCACGGAAATCAGCCAAAGCTGGGGGTCTGAGGACCTGGGAATGGGGGTCCCACACCCCAATTAATGAGTGGGTTTTTTGTTTTTGTTTTGCTGCAGTGCAGCATTTTAGGGGTCTAGTTCAATTATAATAATAGACTGATAAACCAACAAGGGTCCTGAATGTGATGACCATGGAGGAAGAGGTCCCTCTCTGCCTATTGCCACGTCGGAGTGGATGGGAATAAAGCTACCAGGTGTCAGAGGCCAGGCCACAGAGGCAGCAAACTTCCCCCCCAGGCCGGGAGGTGAATAAGGATGACTGTCTGTGTGTCCCCTTGCAGGCTGCACACCCCCTCCTTTCTCTGACCTAGTGCCCCTGACCAGAGCCCCCGCAGTGCTAACGCCATCTAGAGTACTTCTAACTTGACAACGAGCAGCGCCTCCAAGCCCCCCAGCCCCTGGTGACTCAGAAGCCAGCTGCACCTCGCGACAGTACGAAATCTTACACCTCGAGTCCCAGCTCAGTGAATTCCAGCCAAGGGTAAGAATTTGGGAATTTTTCCAATTACTCCAGCTCATGAGGCAATGCAACAGATGACTGTAAACCCCCTGGGTTAGCCCAGAAAGCGCCCTGTGCAGAGCTGACCGGACGCAAGGCAGAGTACGTGCGCACCGTTCCACGCTTTGACTGCCAGGACCCGTGAGCCTGCTGCCCAGCCCGCGCCCGGCCAGGCAGCTGGAGGCCGTGTTTCCAAACAGCACACGCAGTGGCACCTGGATGCGGATCAAGCCGAATGTCAGAGTGTTCTGGTCTTCAGTAACCAGTTCCCAGGGGGAAGCCCAATGCCTGTGCCGAGAGGTAATCCTCAAACCGGTGACTGGGCCAAAGCATTGCTCGGAGGCTACAAGTCGGAGAGCGAGCGCGGTGCCCGGCGGCCGCACTAACAGGCCGGGCACCGCCGCTGCAGGCAAGCCCGAAGCGAGCCCCGTCACAGAACCGACTCCTTGGATTCCAGTTCCGGGGCGCTGGCCGCAGGGCCGGGGGGGTTCTGGTGTGTCACCAGGGGCGACGTCTCCTCCTCCGATTTGTAGTTGGGGACGGCCTCCACCTTCACCTCGCTCAGTTCCTGCTCCCCTTTCTTCATCGCCTTCTGATTCAGGTGGTGGAGGATGCCTGCACCCAGGGCGTCCCCTTCCACGTTCACCACGGTGGTGGTGCGGTCCCTGTGGGAAAAGGCAAGGCGGACCTTACCCGGATGCGGCGGGGCAGGGCGCCGTCACAGCAGCCTGCAGGCCCCGCTGTTTCCGGGACAGCCGGCTACGAAGGGCACAGGCCTCACTTTATTCTAAGCTGATTTTTTTTTCTCTTTTTAAAAATTTTCTTAACGTTTATTTATTTTTGAGAGACAGAGACAGAGTGTGAGCAGGGGAGGGGCAGAGAGAGAGAGGGAGACACAGAATCTGAAGCAGGCTCCGGGCTCTGAACTGTCAGCACAGAGCCCAACGCGGGGCTTGAAACCAGGAACCGTGAGATCATGACCTGGGCTGAAGTCGGACGCTTAACTGACTGAGCCACTCAGGTGCCTGGGCTGATTTTCTTTCAATATTTCTTTTTTCATGAAAGTAACAGACCCTGATTGTGGAAAACCTGGAAGAAAGAAGTATAAAGAAGAAAACAAAAGCCAGCAACCCTTCACAACTCTGAGAGAGTCTAGTAACATTGGATCTGCTTCTTGCCAGTCATCTTTCTGGGTATGTATTTTCTGGGGAATAGATACCATCATATGAAAATCACATATAACTGGGATGGAGAGTAGTATCCAGCTTCTCTCCCACTTACAGTACACTGTGGGAACGCCCCTTCTTTTTCTCACTTCAACACTGCATCTCTGCTGAATGTTAATCTTTGATGTATTCCCTGGCAGTTGGCAAACACCACCTCACAGCACTGAACTTTCCAGAAGCTTGGCTTCCCATACATTAGCCCAATAACCATCCTGTCTCCTGAGGCTCAGAGTAAGTACAGTGCTCACTTAGAAGGGGGGGAGGGGAGATGTGAACTTGCCTGACGGCCCCGGAGAAGCTGAGGGCTGTGGAAGCAGAGGCCACATGGTAGTGGAGGGCTCACGTGACTTTAGGGCTCTACTGGGCGGCCCGCCTGGTGACCTATTTCCGTGTTTGTGACTAAGTGCCTTCCCCAGGCAGAGGCAGCTGAGTGAGGAAGCAGACAGGGCCTCTGACACACTGCTCTGGTCCTGTCCCACTCACCAGCTCAGGGGTCAAGCTCCATCTGATGAGCTGTCGGGATGATGCGGGTTTCTGCTGCACATCTCACCCTCACTGTTGTGAGGAGCCATAAGGATTCTGAGAGGCTCCTTCAAACTTCCAGGGCTTATACGAAAGGCTGGAGACCACCGTTAACCAATCATGATGGGCAGAGCCACGGCCCAGTGCCCGGCTCCGGCGTTTAGGTTATATGCCATGCCTGGCTCTGGCTAGCCTGGCCAGGAGGGTCTGTCTTCATTCACTAAAGTACTTGTTCACTGCAGTCCTGGAACTCTTCTATGCACTGTGGAGGTGCTACCTCATTTCATCTTCAACACAGCTCTGACGTACGTTGTACAGTTATTCCCATTTAAGAGGTGAGCCCATCAAAGCACAGAACAGTTCCAATCACACCACTAATAAATGGCAAAGCTGAGATGTGAACCCAGGTACCTGGGCTCCAAAGTTCATTTTCTTATCCGTATGCTGCTACTGTACAACATTAGTACCTCAGGTGAACTTCCCTGTAAAACAAGTATTGTTTATACCCAGACAAGGTATCACTTGGCTCAAGAAATCGGCACTCAGAATCAACACACTGTCCTGTACCTTTACAGGAGCCCTGGCAATGGTGGTCTGAATCATACCTTCTACCTCACTCCATTTCCCCTGAGCCCAAGCCACTCACAACAGCTGGTTTCATCTTCACTTCCCTCTCAGAAATCACTCCTTGGAAGTTCCAGGCCAAGGGTGATCATTCCCAAAGGCTCCCTGCTCCAATGGCTATGACTCCTTGCAGCCAACAATCTCCATTAGACCCTTGTGCCCCCTTTACCTGCACTGGGGGTCCAGCTTGGGCCTTGGACACCTGCTTTCCTGGACGCTCTGACCACCCTCTCAGTAAGGACACTTCACGGTCATTCATGGGCCATTGCCTCTTATATTGTTACATTTTTCCTAGCACTAAATTTTGTCTTGCCAGCTCAACTGTCGGCTCCTTCACAAGGCAGGGGGCCTGTTAGAAGTTTCTCCACATGCCCAGGCCCTGCAGGGTGCCACGCTCCCAGGGAAGTCAGCACAGACTTTCTTTTATTCTGTGCCCTTAGGACGTGCTACTTACACAATCCAGTCCACAGCCAGGATCAGAGAAAGGTCATGAGTGGGCAGCCCAATGGCCTCCAGGATAATGGCGATGGTGAGGACCCCCCCAGCGGGCACGCCAGCGGCTCCAACGCTGGAGGCTGTGGCTGTCACCCTAGGGGGTGGCACAGAAGATGAGTCATTAACACAAACCATGGTGTGGGCACAGAGAAATGCAAACTATGGCAGCTATGGCTTAGAAACCAAAAAACCCTACAACCCTAGATTCTGCCAGCTGAGCCCTCGAGAGGTGATTCGCTCTCTTCGAGTAATGAATTCACACTGTCGTTTTCCTAATGAGACATCCCCAAGTCATGGTGAGACTGGTATTTGTGAGGTTTTCTGGAGGAAATCACACATGCGCAAAACCCCTCGAGTTTAGACACAGGCCTAGAGATGAAGAAAAGAATAGTGCACTTACAGAATCGTGAAAATCTGTCCTGCTCTCAGCTCAATGTTGTTGAGCTGGGCGATGAACACGGTGGCCACACACTGGAAGATGGCTGCTCCGTCCATGTTCACGGTGGCCCCAATGGGGAGGATGAACCTGCTGATCCTCTTGTCCACACCGTTGTTCTCCTCAATGCACTTCATCATGGAGGGAAGGGTTGCTGAGCTGGAAACGGAAGAACAGCCGATCGTGAGAACAGTTCTTCCCAGCTAGGCTAATAGATCACTCAGCTCAGACCCGGGAACAGAGCAGTGGGCCTCACCCTAGTTTCTGGTTTCTCTCCTCTGAAATCAGAGAAGAGTCGGAATTGTTTCAAAGTTTCTGTCGTAATGTGGGGTTTTGTCAGTTCCCGAAGTATTCCAAATCTGACTGCCTAGATTTACCTGTTACGTTATTTCCCTGGATACACCTGCTCCGAATATTTCAAGAAACCATACGTTACCTCATGGTGCAAAATGTTCTCAAGAGAACAAGGAACCATTTATTCTATATGCAAATCTCCTCCCTTGAATTTTTCCCCCCAAAAAGTAAAAGGCAAGCTATGATTTTTTTTTTCCTTTTAGGCCAGGAAGTAGCAGTGGCTATGAGTCTAGAGAATGACTGTGTTCCTAGAAAACTTGAAGGTCAAGCCCTGCTCTCTCCAGCCTGCTCCCAGGCTCCACGGAGGGCGGCTGGCACAGCTGAGAGGCAGACTTGTTTTTGTCTAAGCCAGAGAATTTACCGTCCTAATTCTTTTTACCTCTATTACCGTGTCATATAAATAGCCAGTCAGGATGGGAGGAAACATGCAGCAGGGAGGCAAAAACCAAATGTATAAGTGCAATGTGCTGCCAGCCTTTGAACGTCTTCTTTAACACATTTGGAAAGCCCAATTGTTTCTGAAGGATTTCCAATCATGACAAGGTGCATCTTTTGTACTAAATTAGATAATCCCACAATACTGTGGACGACCCATCCCTCACCATGATGCCTTGGTCTTACTTTCTAATTCACGTATCCAGAGGTAGAATTGGGCAGCTGTCATTCTGGAAACGTCCCTGCAGTGCGTTCTAAGTGGTTCCCTTCTTTTACTCAGGCAAAGGTCTCACTAATTAGGGTGAAGACCCACTATGAGGTTAAACAATGATCCGACCTCTAGGGAACAAGAAGGAGGAGGGAATGAGGCAATCCCAGAAACTCACTTCCATAAAAGTGTGGGACTGGTAATTTAAAAAAAGCAGAGAAGACCAACTTTGAGTTTTCAAGAACTGTCAAGAAATGTCAAGAAATCGGCTGTGTATCCACGACCGGGCTCACTGATGGCACAGTAATATGGCTGCGGGCAGCCAAGGCCGCTGGAAACGGACTCACCTGGAGCACGTGGCAAATGCTGTGGCAAACGGTGTGAGGAGGCCCAGGAGGAACCTGAACGGGTTTTTTCGTGTGAAAACAAAATAAATAAGGGGCAGAACAATTCCTCCATGAATAAAATGGCCCAATATAGATGTGAAGATATATTTTCCAAGGCTAGTCACCAGCACGATGATGTCTTTCATCTCCAAAATCTTGCTTCCAACCAGGAACATGATGCCCACAGGCACATACCTAGGGCATGAGCATAGGGCACTTGTCAGTAAGAGTGACGTAATGACGGCGCTGGGAGATGCAGACCCTTCCTCCTGATATACAACACAGAGGCTCTCAACTAAGTGCTCGTCGTTGCTCCTTAGGATAATCCTAGGGGCTCCTGACTGGCTCAGTCGATAGAGCATGCAACTCTTGATCTCAGGGTTGTGAGTTCAAGCCCCACATTGAGTGTGGCACCTGCTTAAAAATAAATAAATAAACAAATAAATAAATAAGGGAAGCTCTCCCTAGTATGATTCTGAGGAATAGAAAAGGATGGGCCCATTTCATAGGCTGTGAAACTAAGTAAAATTAACATGATAAATCACCACGGATAATAGAGTCAGGACCAGAACCCAGGCTTCCTTCTCCTTGGGTATGTTATGTTCTTAACGGAGGGATGCTACCAACCACATGGGCTCCTAAGTGGAAAGCCAAGGAACTCCTCAAGATCAAAGCCTCTGGGACTGAGAACTTGATTTTCAGCCTTGGTCAGGCTTGTTCTGAGAACTTAGAAACACAAAAGACTAACACCTATTTTGCAGAATTACTGTGATACAGAAAGTGAGCCAAAGCTGGGACTTTTGTTAAGTTTCAAATTCCTTGTGGTTTGGGAAACATGATTCCGTGGGAAAAAGTCATTAACAATGACCCTCAGGGAACATTCCTCGAACGTGAAGATTTTTTTAATGGCAAGATGGGAAGAAAAAGGGAAGAAATGAACTATGGGAGCAACAGAAAACAGAAGTCAGCTGTTTTGAAGTTAATATACATTTTGGAAGAATTGTATAACCACTGGCTTTGTGAATTTCAATTACATAGATATAATGCCACATAGTTCAAATGTAAAAGAGTTCAAAAGGATGAACAAAGTCTCCCTCTCACCTCTGTCCCCCAAGTACTCAGTTTCCTTCCCTGGAGATAGCCAATGTCATTGGTTTCTTGAATTTTCTTTACAGAGATAATCTAAGCAGTATTATTAATTTTAAACTCCATAGCAACTCATGAATGCACTGTCCTTTCAAAGAATTAAAACACAGATTAGGCCAAAATCCTCTTTAGGCACCATAGTCACACCAGACCCCTCCTCAGAGAACTACTTTGCTTGTTATACATTTAGATACATAGGTATGCACTTAAGACTTTTAAAAGTATTTTTTATTTATTTTGAGAGAGAGAGAGAGAGAGAGAGAGAGAGGGAGAGGAGGGGGGAGGGGTAGATAGAGGCAGAGATTCCCAAGAAGGCTCTACACTGTCAGCACAGAGCCTGACGTGGGGCTTGAACTCACAAACCATGAGATTATGACCTCAGCCAAAATCAAGAGTTGGACACTTAACCGACTGAGCCACCCGGGTGCCCCCAGGTAAGGCGTTTTAAACCCTAATTCTGGTGAGATGCACTTACTGGGCAACAGATCGCCACTGGTGGCGACACACAGCAGGCTCTGCCTTATGGAACACCTGCTTGTGTAACTAGTATATTGAACTGCAGGAATGACTGTATATTGCTTTCCAGATTGAAAAGGTCTTAATCTAAGAACATCACTTTCTTGCATAATTTCCTGGAATCTAAACTTTGAGAAGATTTTAGACTGAAAAAATAAGCCAGGAAAAGAACCTGACGTGTGATGAAAACACTTTTTCCTTTCTGAAAACATTTTTCTCTCCAGAACAACAACAGTCATGTGAAGGGTCATGTTTGCAGGGGTAGAGTCAGACTCTGGAATTTTTGGTTGGCGAACATAAACACTACCAGTGGGGGCTCTGGACTCGGCCTCCCATTCAACGATAAACTTCGCTACCCAATTCCAGGCTTCTGTCCTAAAATGTGCCACCCCGATGCCATCTGAGAGAAGTTTTGGGCGATTTAAGGGTTGACAATAAGGAAGATGCTTTGTGTCTGAAGGGATAAACTAAGCTTCTCAACAATATATGAGTAGCAGTTAAAACCCACGGAAGTCTGACTTGAGCAAAACAGCAAGATAAAGCTTGTCGATAGGTGCTAGAAGTGGCAGGGTTTCTGGGAAGTCACTTGGAGAGATCTGGTCCAAATTTTCCTTGTTAGCCAGAAATCAATCAAATGGTTTTTTATTAAACAATTGTCCTTTTAATGATGTCACCTAAAGAAACATTTACGTAGAAAGAGACCATTCCAAGTTTATATATGCATGGGGTGCAAGTTTATATATGCATGGGGTGCAAATGAATTTGTCCTCCATGCTGTGCAATATTATACTAAGGGGCCCCTTTGAAGCCTCAAGCGTATGGTTTTAAGATAAATAAGCCTTACACAGCAGATAGCAAATGTATGGAGTTGGTTGCCCCACAAGATGATACTGGCATCCTATATGATATGGATAATGGCAGAAACCCAGAAATAAATCACCAGTAGTGGAACCATAAGGGGTCACTGTGGGTGCTACAGAAGGCACAGGGAGCTGTGGCGCAGGCCTGATTCTCTGAGATGCTGGGCAAAAGGAGAAGCCGCTCCATCTCCACCACCCCCTCTACCAAGCCGGGCCTATGGTACACCAACCACAGATGGAGCACTGAGCCAGGCTGGCCTTGCAGGGCTGACCTCGGACAGGAGACGGGATTCTTTTCTGGACAGCAGGAGGAATGAGAGGGAGACTAATGGGCGGGCCAAACTCACCACATAATCCATGACACCAGCACCATCGTCGCTTCATTGAAGGCATTGAAGAAACGGATGAGCTCTTCTCCTTCAGAGCCGAGTTTCTTTAGGGCCACTCCTAATACCAGGGCAAAGAGGACCAGCCCTAAAATGTTCATCCCTTCGATCTCGGTGCCGATGGGGATCTGTGGGATGAGAGGGGATGGAGGACCTAAGTTTACACCTGATGAGTTAGACCATCACTTCAAAGGGTTACTTTTAGAAGGAGATCCGGTTAATATAACATTGTATGTTAACTGTGCTTTGGTGATAAATACAAAAAAAAATTTTTTTTAAATTAAAAGAAGAGCTGGTTGGTGAAAAGTTTCTTCAGATCGAGAGTCAATGATTGTAACTGTGTCTCCCAAATGTCCACAAATTCTTTGTGGCTAGACTGTTGCAGTGGCCCTCCTAGCTGACAAATCTCACAAAAGATTTTCAGGGTCAACATGGATATTTTCAGGATATTCTTTCCTAAGTCAGTGACTTAAAATATATACATATACTGTGTTCCTTATTTTTTACCATAATGCTCAATCTCACTACTACAAGCATATGCTGGAGTTATGTTTATTCCATCAAAATGCATCATAAAATTCTGAACAGCATGTCAGAATGATAAAAATAAAAAGAGTATTTTTACCATAGATCTGAGTTCTAGTCCCAGGTCTGATAATAAATAACTTCTCAGACTTTCAAATTCTTCATCTGCAAGATGAAGTAAATGGGACTACTTGTAGCTTTCAACCTTTTTTTTTTTTTTTTTTTAAACGTAGAACTTTTCCTCAATCAAAGAAAGACTAGGACAACTCAGAGCCCCTGAGCCCTCAGAAGCTGTATGTGTAGGGTAAGGAAAGGGCAAAGTACCTCCTTCTTCCCATGACAGCTCTGTAGAAGCACTGAATAATCTTCAAGGTCCCCTGTCCCATCCAGCTCTATCATGAAGACTGGAACCTTACCTAGTGTCTGGCCAATAATAGCCACTCCAAAAACATGTGTGAATGAATGATGGCAATAGTGAGTTAAGCCCCTAAGACAAGTTCTATGTGTAGAGGTAGGTTAAATCACCTATTAGTTATATTTCAGGATAGCAGAAGGGGTGTTATAAAATATGTTTTGAAGAAAGGGGATATTTGTTCCAATTCGATGAAATGGATCTGCTAAATATTCTAATCCTACAGATGCTGGGCTTTGACCATGTTGGTAAATAACCTAAGGAGCAAAGCTGATCTGTTCTTCGGATAGTTCTTTCAACACCCAGAGTTTTGAACCCCGCTGAGAAAAAAATGCATCACATAACCTCCTGCAATTAACAGCACTATTTGCTTTGTAAGTCATTTGCCACAGTGATCTTATAAAAAGCTTTACCTTTTCATAGGTTACATTTCCAGAGCTCGTGTTGTGGGTCACCTCTCTATAATCAGTTGCATACTAGGAACAAGAGAAAGAAAAATCCACTGTTAGTTCACAGGTGAAGACCGACCAGAGGAAGGGAGAAGACTGGGGGGCCTCTTCCTCATTATTCACTCTGAGTGCTCTCAGAATTCCTCACTCGGTTGGCCTGACAAGCGCCTGTGAGTACTGTACAAAAGTTACTTAAGACCATGGCAGCATACACCCCACGAGGCCACTGTATTACTTAGGACCCACAGCATTAGGGACAATGGTTTGGAGGAGAAGGTCTGCACAATTTCAGACTGATAGTTTGCTATTTCCAACAGCTGACACTTTGTATTACTTGGAGAACTTTGGTATTAATTCCATAATGTTGAAGTTCACTTTTCAATGTGTCATGAATGAGGGGAGAGGCAGAGAGAGAGGGAGGCAGAGGATCCGAAGCAGGCTCTGCGCTGACAACAGTGAACCTGACACAGGGCTCTAACTCACAAACCGCAAGATCATGACCTGAGCCAAAGTCGGAAGCTCAACTGACTGAGCCACTCAGGTGCCCCTATTTTCATTCAGATATTTATGCTCCACTTTGTTCCAGGATTTACTTGAGCTTGACTGCTTTTCAACATCTACTTCTAATTTGCCTTGGCCTCTACTCTCCAAAGCAAAGGATGTGAGGCAAGGTGGCATTTTCTGGCTAAGTCATCTGGGAGTCTCACTTATCATAAGTGCAATGACTCTCCAAACCCTGGTCCTAGAGTTGGCTTCATGAACTTCTGCCCAATGCACACGGCTGTCTCCCTGTGGCAGTATGCACTACTGAATGGGATCTGTTATAAAATGCCTTTCCTGAGCTCTTCTAAGGACACCTGGCTCTGAACTGTCATGAGGAGCCCATTAGAATATACTGCTTTGTGCCTGCCTTTGATGAGGTCTGCTTTCTTTCAGCTTTGATTTATCAAGCTTTCAGACAGGCAGAGGTGTTCAGCTGTCCTGTGATTAAGGGTGACAGTGGAAACAAAACCCACCCTACGCCTTCTGTGACCAGCACTGAAAACTCCATAAACCTTTTACTTTTTTCCTACCTCACATTATAAATACAAGCCACAGCTGTGTTTACATGCAGTTCTTTTTTTTTTTTTTTTTTTTTTTTTTAAAGAGAGAGAGGGGCACCTGGGTGGCTCAGTGTCTGACTCTTGATTTCGGTTCAGGTCATGATCTCACGATCCGTGAGACTGAACCCCGCAGTGGGCTGCACGTTGACAGTACGGACTCTGCTTGGGATTCTCTCCCTATCTCTCTGTTTCTCCCTGGATCATATGCAAGCTCTCTCTCTCTCTCTCAAAAATAAACAAATAAACTTTAAAAATAAATAAAATAAAAATAACAGAGCAGGGGCTGTGAATAGAAAAGTTTGCTTGGAAACGGCAATGAGATTAGTCTACCTCATCTAGACCTTTATATTCCTTCTCCTCATAAAGCATGGCTATAGGGATGTTACTTGCAGCCTTGCAAACATTAGAGAAAAATAGAAACAACCTGAATGTCTATCAATAAGGGACTGACAGAATGAACTTAAGATGCTCATACAGTGGAATATGACCATTAACATTATATGGAAGGATATCTGCTGACATGAAAAATGTTTACCAGATGCTGCCTTAAAACAGAGGTTAAAAACAATATGTGTAGTATGTGTACATACTACCAAAATATGTAGTATACGTATTTTTTATTTTTATTTATTTTAAAAAAAATTTTTTTAATGTTTTATTTATTTCTAGGAGACAGAGAGAGAGACAGCGTGAGCAGGGGAGGGTCAGAGAGAGAGGGAGTCACAGACTCTAAAACAGGCTCCAGGCTCTGAGCTGGCAGTCAGCACAGAGCCCGACGCGGGGCTCGAACCCACGAACCGCGAGATCATGGACGCTTAACCGACTAAGCCACCCAGGCGCCCCAAGTATTTTTTATTTTTAAAATGTGTGTGTATGTGCGCCTGCAGAGAAAAAAACGTATCTGAAAGATGTATACCAAAATGTTAATGGCTATCTCTAGGTAGTGATTATGGGTGATTTTTAATTTCTTCCCTATTTTTGCACGTTATTTATTATTTTTCTGCATAAGCATATATGACCTTTATAATCAGAAAAAAATACAAGTATATATTTTTTAAAATTGCAAAATATTTAAGAGAGCCCCAAGATGTTATCTGGGGATATTTCCCAGGTGACACAAAAAGATGACGGAACCAGGGGGATATTTTAGAAAGCCTTTCAGTTTTTTGTGTGGTTTGGTTTGGTTTGTTTGTTTTTATTCCAGGGTCCCTTTATAAAAATGTAGGCCAGCGTACCAAGTTTTGTTAACAATAGTACCCTGCCCTGTCCCACCTTACCTAACTCTATAGCACGATTTATACACCATCCCCATCAAAGTTTCCCGTTCTTAGCAAAGCATCAAGCTTACCGTGCGGAAAGTGGCAACCACAAGATTTGAGGGAAACAGGTTTCTGTTGGAAAAGAAAGCACTTTGTCAGTGTTTTTAAGATTCAGCGTTCAAAGGACCTGCTCCAAGATGCCCATTCCTGACAGCTCAACACACGTCGTTCCCCCTCTCTCCACCTCCAGAGGTTACTGTGGCCCCTGCTGGACCCACACACCCAACTGTGCCTTGGTTGCTGGGCCACAATTGATACTCTGAGCGCAGGAGTCTTATGCTCATCTCCCTCATGGTACTCCAGGAAAACCATAGCACTTTCCTCTCCCCAAGAAGTTAAGCCCTATTGCAGAGGTTTTTAGCAAGAGTGGTACAGCCCACCGGTGAAATCCAAGGGAGTGTTTTCATTGTCGAAATAATTGGGGGGCATTCCTGCAATAAACGGGGGAGTGTTTATAGTAGAAGGTGCCAAGTCCCAGCCATTCATTCTACTGAGTGTGGCCCTCACGCTGTCCAAATGTCCTATATGACATGCCTGTAGGTGAAAACCTTATTTATAATTACCTCAGCCTAAACCAACTCCAAAACAAGATGGGTTTTTTTGCACAATTTGAACATACACTGACTTTTCTAGAAATGCAACTACTGTATAAAATGTGGAATAATTCTTTGCTTTATTCAGAATGTTGCTGAAAATTGTTCATCTTTCTGGAAAATCACATCATCAATGGCAAATTGTAGGATCTGAGTCCTCAATTACACACACCAGTATCAAGTACCAGCTTGCATTTATAGCTCTCATTCGCGGCGAATGTAAGCTGAGAAGCAAGCACCTAACCACTTTGTTCTAGGATTTTTATGTATTAAAACATATTATTTTTATTATAAACTGCTCTCCTTTTATCTTTTGTATTACTATTGAGTCATACTGATGCTTTGAAGTATGTGTGTAGGTAAATTCTATTTATGGATTTCACTTCAGGATGAAGCGTTTTATAAAATATTTGTCATAAAAGGAGGACAAAAGAACTGATTAAGTTAAGCTAGAGTTTGAAACCAAAATCTGTTCATGCAAACAGTTTTACTGAGAGCCTCCTTTGGATCAGGCTCTATGCAGGATACTGGTCTTGATCTATAACAAAATCCCAGTGACGTTTCCCTGCCCGTTGGTTGTACCCACCTCCTGTAAGAATAAGGATAGAAAAGTAAAAGGCTCCGAATCATCTTTACACCGTATGCCAACTTATCCAGTAATTCTGACTTCTGTGGTTGTTTACCTAGCACTAGAATCGCTAGGCAACTATTTGCAGTGCATTTGGTTTCAGAGGTAGGCAGGTCTGACTGCAACCCAGCTTGGCAAGCAGTCTAAGATAGGTTCCTTGTAGTCACATCTTGTGCAATGCCCTTCCCCTTGAGTGTGGGCGGGGCCTAGCACTTCCTTCTAGCCCGTAGGATACAGCAAAGGTGATGGGATGTCATTATCAAGATTCGGTTACATAAAATCGTGGTTTCCTTCTCACTAGACTTGCTTTTACTGCAACTCATTCTTTATTAAAACTCGTTGAAGTGTACACCTAAAATGGGTGCATTTTATTGTCCTTAAATCATATCTCAAAATTGCTTAAAAAGCTAAAAACAAATATACAGTGCTTACTGCAAAGAAGATTTTATAACCATAAAAATACATACTTTCAATGGGATGACTGAACTTTCTATAGCTCAGCGCTCAGTTACAAATCACTGGGAAGGCACCCCCTGGGGGCAGTGAGATGGAGCTCAGGCATCCACAAAATTATCCTCCTTTCCCTCGGTCCCTCTGGTTGCCACAGAACATGTACAATCCCTCTTGCCCACACCAAGGGCAAGGAGCTGAGGCTGTGGGAGTAAAGCCAAATGCTTGACAGATTGTGCCTTTGGTGTTGTAGCTAGGTCATCGCCATACTGAAGGTCACTTAGGTTTTCTACATCGTCTTCCAGGAGTTTTATACTTTTGCGTTTTTCATTTAGGTCTGTGACCCATTTTGAGCCAATTTTTGTAAACAGTGCAAAGTCTGTGTCTAGGTGTGGATGTCCAGCTGTTCCAGCACAATTTGTTGAAAAGATGACCTTTGAGCCATTGTATTGCCTTCACTTCTTTGTCAAAGATCAGTTGATTATATTTACATGGATTCTCTATTCTGTCCCACTGATGTATTTGACTGTTCTTTTGCCAACACCACACTGTCTTGATTACTGTTGCTTTATGGTAAATCTTATAGTCAGGTAGTGTCAGCCCTCCACCTTTGATCTTGTCCTCTCTGCACCCTTCTCACCCCTCTTCCCTTTGGCGTTTAAACACAGATGCTGCTGTGAACTCCGGCTTCCTTACTCCCGGGCTCTCCTGCATTCAGGGCTCAGTTGCCGGTCATGCAAGCAGATTTGCTCCTCAAGGCTTTGACTTCAGGCACTTTTCCTAACTCCTCACATTCACACGATAACTCCACATGCTTTCAAAATAAGAAGCCTTAAAGCTAGAAGAGATTTTAGAGGTGGTCAAGTTCAGCCCCCTCATTTAGCACATGGAGACACCAAGAACCCAGAGATATTAAGTTGGTACATCTCCCACTCATGCTCCATCTAGACCAACACTAATCAATATGGCAGCCATGTGGTTACCGGACACTCGAAATATGGCTGGTGCTATAGAGAATCTGAATTTTTAAAAATTTATTTACATTTAAACTAGTTGAATTTAAATAGCCACTTGTGGCTACTGTCTATCATACTGGACGCTGCAGATGTAGAGTTTTGAGATCCAGAGTCTGGAAATAAGGAGGAACAATTGGTCCTCTCATGCTGTACCTCTGCACAGTACTCAATTTCACTGGGGACTAGAGTGCTTCGAACCACTGAGTTCTTCATTTTATTCAAACTCTCAAAGATTTCCTTTTTCTGTTATTTGATCCTTAGAAACACACTTAAATTCCATAATAACCAGATTTACATCAGACCAAAGTTTCTCCAACATGAGTAGGCCATGAAAGCAATTTATTATACATAACCAGCATTTTATAAACTATGTGATACATTAGACAGAATAGAAGATACCAGCAGGTGGCACCTTTAAAATGCTGTTTTGTGGAACTTGTGTTTCGTGCTGGGAGGGGTAGGCATATAGGTACAGGTACCATAATTTAAAAACGTCAAGTCCATACTAAATTCAGAGAGCCACGTCAGACCAAATCAGACAGAGTGAATGGACAAGCCTTTCCAGTGCTATAGGATCTCTGGATATGCTACTTAAACAGAGAAACCAGTGTGGGCTGAGGCTGAACTGCCAGAAGGAGAGCTTCCGTCCATGGTAGCGGACGCTCCCGCAGCTCATACAGTGAAAAACTTCAAAACAGTTTCTTCTTTATACATCGGGTACCGTTCGCTCTTCTGATCCTATTCGTCAAGGGTGGTCTGCATTTCCCTATGCTATATGAGAATGGAAAACAATGTACTTTCGCATATTTTTTGTTCCAGAAATATTTCCTTTTATTTAAGTTCAAAAATTCTTTACCGAATTTATGAAAATTTCAAAGACTCTTCAGAACAGGATATGGCATGGTATGTGCGCCTGCTAAATATTTATTATCCTCAGTGTTTATTGTTACAGAGTCCGTTAACAGAGACATGCCCTTTCAGATCTTGGTACCCCCTACAAGGCTGGGAGCAGAGGAAGGGATGGGGGTCGTGGGCTCACACTATGGTGACAGTGGGGGGTGGGGGAGTAATCTATCTTCTTCTCAAGGGCCATATCCAGTTTTAGATTTCAGCTAGAAAGATACTGCTGGGCCCCTGGGGTGGGGGACTTTTGGGGAAAGGAGGCTAAGAACAGCACTAATTCTCTGTAGCAAGTAACCTGAGAGCTGTCCCTGAGGGGCTGGGACACTGGAGAATATTAGCAAGGCCCTCCAATATTCACTCATTAATACTCATAACAAGTGTAAGCAGTAGATACTATTATTAGCGTCACTTTATAGATAAGTAAACTGAGGCACAGAGAGGCTAACTGACTTGTCCCTTCAGCTAGTAAATGGTAGAACTAGATTCAAACCCAGGTAGTTGACTTCAGTGTCTGCTTTAAAAAAAAAAAAAAAAAAAAAAGAAAACTTTTTTAATGTTTATTCTTGAGAGAGCGAAAGACTGAGCATGAGCCTGGGAGGGACAGAGAGAGAGGGAGGCACAGAATCTGAAGGAGACTCCAGGCTCCGAGCTGTCAGCACAGAGCCAGACACAGTGCTTGAACTCACAAATCACAAGATCATGACCTGAGCCAAAGTCGGACACTCAACCAACTGAGCCATCCAGGCGCTCCTTCAGTGTCTGCTTTTAATCACCACCCATGTGGCCCCTCCGGGTGCTCTTTTCAGTCTCTCAACTATCCAGGTAGCCTCCTGGGTGGCAGAAGGAAAGATGTCGGGTCAAAACCTTTTATTGTTTTGTTTTGTTTTTTTTTTTAAATAACAAGCTGCTGCCTTTTCCCTTTAGTGACTCATTAGGCTGAGAGCCCTCCATTAATTTGGATCCTTTTTAGATTTGCTAAGAGTCTCCATCTTGCCTATGGAAGAGAGACATAGCACACAGGTCAAATGACCTGCCATGGCCAACAGTTAAAAAAAATTATTCACTACTCATTCCCTTGACTGCAATCTCAGGGCTAACAATAGAGCTCAGTCTCTGATAGGTTTCTTTGCAGCTATTAAAGAAACGTGTTCTTTGCAGGTTGAGAGGCATCGTATTCACACCAGTCCTTGAGAAGGAAAGTAAGTCCCTTACGCCTCCCTCTGTGAAGGGAAAGGCTCGTAGCACTGTGCACTGTTGAGAAAATGAGCACGAGGAAGAAAAAAAAGCCTAGAAAAGTGAGCAACAGGCAAAATCTCACTTGTGTTTACCAAGCACATGGCTGCACCCTTTTACGCTTCTGCAAACGACAGTGGCCCAGGGCCATTTTTCTGGCTGCCAGTGTAGACAGAGCCCTGTGCCCAGGAGCTGTTCCTACCTGCCACCTTTGCGGGTAAGCCTCTGGCTTTCCATTTGAAATCTACAAATTTTAGCACCCAAAGGAATGTTAGAAGCCAGTTGTCTCAATCCTTTCCACTTATAGCTGAAGAAAATTGAGGTCAGCTTTGGAGATCACAAACCTATAATGCAGGCAGGAACGACACTGGAATGTCAGGGAGGATATGTGAAGATTTCTGCTCCTCTTTAGAATGGAAGGCTCTTCTGTGTTTAGTTTTGACTTGTCCACGTTCTCCAAATTTCCCATAGTGTGGATTCTATTATTCCAAAACACAGTAAACGTTCACCTCTTTTTCTCCAAGCTCCTGTGGTTCCCAATACACTTAGACTACATTAGCTTCAATTCATCCTCAACTGCCCCCTTCCTTTTACTCTCGTTTCTTTCAGACTATGAAAAATCCTCATACGTTCACGCGAAAAGAACAAACAAAAATCCCGATCGCTCTGTAATACTGCTCTGTTTGTAACAAGAGCAAGCATATACTGGGAGAGCCCTGTTCGAAGAGCTTTACAGACATAACTCATTTAACCCTCAGAACAATCTTTTGAGGGAGGTACTTTCATGATGGCCGTTATGAAGATGAGGGAGCTAAGACACAGAGGTTAGGGACATGCTCTAGCATTCACAATCAGTAAGTGGTCCTTGCCAGGGACCAAGAAGTTCCATAATGACTGAGTTCCTGATAACCTGTTTCTGTCTTTTTGGTGCCAACACCATTTCATTGGGGATGAAAAGTCACAGCTCAATCACCTGGGTCACACCCAGTTCTGAGAGTCCGGTACAGCTCTGGGGCCCTGGGCACAGGGCTCTGGGCCGCTCAGGAGGAGACTGGGACTTACCCACCTGCCAGGTGCCATCCACCAACTCTATCCCTTCTCAGCTATCAAAGGGCCTGCTTCTAGCACCAGTGCCTCACGCCCACTCCCCAGATGGTTCTTTCTTTCTTTTTTTTTTTTTAATTTTTTAATGTTTTATTTATTTCTAGGAGAGAGAGAGAGAGAGACAGCGTGAGCAGGGGAGGGTCAGAGAGAGAGGGAGTCACAGACTCTGAAACAGGCTCCAGGCTCTGAGCTGGCAGTCAGCACAGAGCCCGACGCAGGGCTCGAACCCACGAACCGTGAGATCATGACCTAAGCGAAAGTCGGACGCTTAGCCAACTAAGCCACCCAGGTGCCCCCCCAGATGGTTATTTCTAATCCACTGTGCGTTGGAAAATCAAACCACTCCGTAATGGCATTCTGAAAATATTCTAAAAGTTATAATGAATGTCTATTAGCTTCATTTCTTTCGGACTTGCAGTTCCATCTTGAGAAAAATTCGAAATCATTGGAGAGAGACCCTGGGGGAGGTGTGAGGCACTCGCCACCAGGAAAGATCAGCCTCAGCAGCAGCTGCACGAAGTCATCCGGGGCTTCTCTCACTTGCGTCTGGTATTTAAGTTCTGGGCACTCAACCCGCAAGGGCCTGCTGGATAACTGAGGTGTGTCTGCTGGCAGTCTCGTTTCATTCACTGCCCACAGGCGGACAGGACCACGCCCTGCCTTTGCCAAGGAACATGCCCAGAGTCCCATTAGATCAGCATCTTCGGGGTTTCTTTGAAGGAAGCAAATTTAAAACTTTTACCCAGAGACCCAGGAAGCATTTAGACATGGCTCAGAACTCAGTTTCCTCTCACAAGCTGCTCAATGTCAAAGCTAAATCTGAGCAGCAGTAAACAGGCTTTTCTTTGCTGAAGAGGCTCGGATCCTCTGTTTAGAGGAAGTTGGCATCTGCCCTGACCCAAATCATATTCTTACCTGATTCCCATTTGGCCCAGAGCAAACATTTCTGAGATGATCAGACTAGACCAGCAGCATGACATCATTTCTACGGCATACAGACTTGGGGGAGGGGAAGGTGGGAGAAAGAGAGCCCTGAACTGGGGTACTGTGGTATACAAGACCCAGAGTTTTTCTTTTTCTTTCATTCCTTTTTTTGGTAATAGTTTTTTAAAAGTAATATCCATACCCAACATGGGGCTCGAACTCCCAACCCTGAGATCAAGAGTCACATGCTCTACTGAGTGATCCAGCCTGGTGTCCCAACCCAGAGTTTTTCTAATCCCTCTTTTGATAAACCACCCTGTGACCTTGAGCAAATCACTTAATCTCTCTAGTCTCAAGCTTTCTCACAGGATTTCTTGTAAAATAGGATCATACCACCTGCCCTACCTTTCTTGGAGAGCTGCTAGATTAAATGAGGTTGGCTGTTGGAAGCATTATGAAATGCAACCTACTCCCAACAAGCCACAACAAACATTCTCTTAGTCTTTTCCTGCATCTGCAACACAAGTCACTGAAAAGTCTGCACCAAGACTGGTCAAGAAGCCATGATGCTGGGTCACACCATTCACTTCAGAAGCAGCTGCTGTAGGGGCTTGGATCTAAAACTACAAAACCACGATCAGGAAATAAGATGTTCCTTCTGGGATGGGTGGTAATAAAGTAACCGCTCACCTTAACTTGCTCCATTTTGGGGCCACTCTCCCTCTTTTGGAGAGAAAAGAGTGCTACTGAGTCTCCCTATGGGGCACTGCCGGCAGGTAAGGGCTAGGCATTCACACTCCCTTCCCTGGTCTATGGATCCCTACGAAAAAAAAAAATCCTTCACCCCCCTAACCACCTTCCCTCCGGGGGAAAGCGGACTGATAGAATACCGAATGTTAAGAGCCAAAGGCACTCTCAACCTCAGCAGACTTTGTTTTCAGTGCCCATTTAAAAGTCCCAAACTTTAAGACTCTTTAAAGACTCTAAATATCAAGCTGCCAGATACCATAGACTGCGATCACATCAAAGTCCCAACGGGCCACCTCCTCCTGCCCTTTTGGTAAGAATTTTACGGTCCCTCTCAGAGGATTTTTTCCCCCAATACAAGTCCTTGACTTTCTGTTGTTATAGTTTCAAATGAACACACTCTATTAAGTGGCAGACAGTCATCACATTTTCCAGAGGGAGAAAAGGAAATAGCAGGAAGTCAAGTCACTTTGCCTGGGGTTTGCTGTTTTTCACAGCCTCGGCACCGAGGAGCTTTGCCTCAGTGACTCAAGACAAAACACACCTCCAAGGCTCTGAATCTAGAATTATCGGAAACCTGGAGAACGAGCCAGCTGAGCCACTTACTCAGGTGAACCTGGCCAGGACAGTAAACATCTCCAGGCTGCAGTTTTCCCATCTGTGAGCGCCAGGCTAACAGAGAAACCAAGAGAGGCTGAGGCTTTGGATAATCCACAGGAACACTGCATCTCAAGGGATAAAATGCAACCTCTAAGGGTCACAAAAAGCAGGCAAAACTCCCTTCCCTCTAGAACTCACCCCTCCAGAAATAAATACAGGGGTCCTGGCCACGAGGTGGACAGCAGACTGTCCGAAGCTCCCAGGAGAGTCAGGTTTCGGGGCAATGGGCCTCATGCAACTAACCCCAGCCTTGCTATCCTTGGGTCCACTGACAACTCTTCAAAAATTGTCACCTTACTCTCAGTCAAAGGGCTGAAACAGGGATCGCCAGAGATTACAAGTGAGGATGACCCTACAAGCACAATTTAACCAATGCGCCCAGATGTTTTCAGGCACTGTGTAGATAAAATAGGGTGAAGGTATCCAGTCTTACTGGAACGTTTTTACTGGTGAGGACGGCCAGAGAGTTTAAGGATTACAGTACTGGTGAGACAGCTGCCTCTGCCCTAACACACACTCCCACTTAACGGGTAGGGCTGATTCTTGGCTCTAAGATGCAGAAGGTATTTTGATATCTAAAAATATGTTAAAGTCCACCTGCAGCCAATTAAGAATGAACTCTTAGCAGTATATGAGGGTGATGGGGGTGACGAGTGTGTGTGTGTGTGTGTGTGTACGCGCGCGCACAGACACACACACACACACTGGAATGTATTTGAGAGCTGGCATCTCTCACTGTGCACTTGGCGAGATGGGGGGAGCGTTACCTGGCCAGATCGAGGAAAGAGTCCACTGTCTCTTTGGGGACCGGAGGGGACCCCGAGTCTTCCAGCCCCAGGTCGCTGGACTGAAGTGTCTGCGCGCCAGACCCAGGCTTGATGATGAACGCCAAAGCGACAGCGAGCGCCGAGGCGCCAAGGGTGGTGAGGCCGAAGTAAGCGATGGCGATGCCGCCCAGGCGCCCAAGAGAGCTGGCGTCGAGGGAGGCGGCGCCCGACACCAGGCTGCAGACCACCAGCGGCAGGATGATCATGCGGAGCATGCGGAGCAGCATCTCGCCGGGGAAGGCCAGGTAGGCTACCTGCGTGCGGCTGAGGCCGAGCCCGCGCAGCGCCGCGCCCAGGCCGGCGCCCGCCACCACTCCGGACACCGTGAACAGCACCAGCGCGTGCCGCCGTAGGAAGCCGGCGCAGCGCCGCGTGCGTACCGCCGCGGACCCGGGCGCGCCAGGCCCAGCCGCAGGCCCCGCCTGGGTGCTGTCCAGGTAGCCGTTGGTCTCGCCGCTCTTCTCCATGGCGCTGCCCGCGGCCCCGAGCTGTGGGGGAGGAGGGGGGGGACTTTGCTCTGGGATAAGACGGGGCTCTCAATGAACGGGTCAGGCGGAGCTGGCGATGTCTGCCAGCTGTGTCCCGCGGGCTCTCGGAGGCGGCCAGCAGGGAGCTCCCGGCCTGGGTGCAGAAGCAGGTGTGGAGAGGGCCAGGAGAGGCGCGGAAGAGCGGGCTGGAGCACCGGCCCGAGTGGATCGCGCCGCGCCCAACCTTCCCACAGCGGTCGCGGGCTGGAGATGATGCAACGCGGGAGCCGCGAGAGCCGACGGGGATGGCAAGAACAGAGGGAGCTGGGAGCCGCCCGAGCCCGCCCGCTTCACACCCGCCGCCCCGCCCCCCGGGCTTCGGCCAATCAGCGTCCGGGAGCCGCCCCCGCGCGCCCCTCGCCTGGAAGCCGGAGCGGGGGGGAGGGGCGGCCGGGCCGGGGGCGCTGCTGAGGCCGCTGGGGCGCCCGCGGAGCTGGCCAATCCGGGCGCCGGCTGCCGCCGCCCGGCCCCGCTAACTGGGGCCGTCTCCGGGTGACCTCGGCAGAGCGCGGCCTGAGGGACGGCCGGAGCTCGTTGGCACCTGCCGGAGCCGCTCGTGCCGACCGAGGTCTGGGCCCTTGGGGTCAGAGGGCCCGGGAGAATGTGGAACGCAGAGGCATTCCCTGCGGAGGGGAAGAGGGGAGGGGTTCCCTCCACAGTTGGTGCTTTCGCCCCCGCGCGGCCCGCGGTCTGCGGGAGAAACTGACAGCCTCTCTTGCAACGGGGCTGCGCGCGGTCAGGAGACCACTGACCGTTCTCCCGCGCTCCGGCTTAAAACCCCCTCCTCCAGGAGTCCTGTACGATAAAGCACGCCGGGGTGTCCAGCGCAGGCCTGGCCCCGAGAAAGAAGATGGATGGATAGATAGATTTAGAAAAGCCTTATCCCAAGTCCATTAAAGGCTCTAACAAAGATTCACCTGTAAGTGAAACGGAGTCCCGGGTGGCACCAAACCCAGCGCCCGGGTGTGCCCCTGAGCGCGCTAGCGCTCTCGGAGGCATGGGGCTTAAAGCCTCCGGGATAGGTCCTGTGTTACCGGCAGCTGTCTGCCGTATATGCGCTGAAGACGCAAAACTCTTCTAGAATCAACAGCTCTCTCACCCTGGCTTCCAGCTGCATTTCTACCACGTAGTACACTAGCCACTAGATTTTAACCTCTTCCATCTCACGGCAGTCGCAGGAAAACAGTACGTATAGTGGTTTAGCCTGCCTGCTCAGATGGCTTCTTAATGTTAACATTCGATTCATTTCCTTTTTATTTTAACTTTTATTTAATAGCTGCTCTAGTCATGGCAAATATCAGACCTCTGCAGAGTCGTTTTACTGTGTCACATTGGTTACTTTTTAAATATTTTCTCATTCTGCTTTTGAAAGGAATTGTTCTTTTAAGATCAGTAGAAAGGAAGTCGTCTTGCATGTGGCTAACCTGAGTTAAGGAGGAAAGCAGTTTCCTATAATCTCGTGCTGAAAAGGAGTTATCTTAAAACATGTCCACACGGACATTTGTGCAAATCAAAACGCCTCCGGGAGGAACTTTAAGGAGCTGTCCAAAATTTGAGACATTGAGGATTCCCTCGCCTGAAGCCAGCCAGCCAAACCATTGGCTGGACTTTGTAGGGTTTCTTGCTGCAAGGAGGGAGGTGTGTGTCAGGTGACCAGCTGAACATGTTTTTCTGTTTTCAGAACAGTCTATTTCTGTGTGCCCTGAAGGAAGGACTTTCCCCAGACACACTGTTTTGCCACCCAGCCCTTCCCTTTGTTTTGACTACCACGTTTATGCAAAGGACTCTCAAATCATGCTCCAGAAATGACTTTTTCTGTCTTTTCTTAAATGTTTATTTTGAGAGACAGCACGTGCACAGGAGGAGGCAGAAAGAAAGAGAACCCTGAGTGCATGAACCATAAGATCATGACCTGAGCCGAAATCAAAAGTCAGACCCTTAACCCACTGAGCCACTCAGGTGCCCCAGAAATGAATTTTCAGTTAACCTGCTTTATATCTCCACTTGAATATCGTGCAGGCATACCGACACAATATGTCCAAAATCAACCCATGTCTGCATTTCTCAAGGCTACTCATCCTTCTGAACCCCCTACTTCTGTTACCCACACTACTGCCTGCCCAGTCACCTCTGTCTGAAGCCTCAGAATAACCTTTGGTTTTTCCTTCTCTAGGGTCTCCTCTCATCTGATCAATTGCCAACTCCCACGGACACTCTTTTCACAATGTTTATCACATCCACCCCCGTACCCAGCATATCCATTCCCACTGCTACCATTCTGGCTCTGTTCTTATTTCCTCACTTCTTATTTTGACTATCAAAATGTTCTCCTAATTAGTCTTTCCACCTCCAATGCTCTTCTTGTTCCACCCATCCTATATTTTGCCTTCCCCCAGACCAATCTTCCTAATGAATAATATACAGGTTAGGATTAGGTTCAGCTTCTATCCAGCAGGAAAAAAAGAAATGTTCTCTCCCTTTAAGAACATCTCCTAAAAGTTGTTCACATGATGTGCTTTATATTTCCTTGACCAGAATTTAGTACATGACCTTGCCTAGCTGCAAGAGAAGTTAAGAAGTGTAATCTTTGTTTTGCACAGGCATATCCCCAGTTAAGAGCCAGTGCTCCTGATGAATAAATCATGAGGGTGAAAGGTATGGCATAGGAAATATAGAACGGTTTGATAATAGGTGGTACAGTGACAGATGGTAGCTACATGTGTGGGGCGCACAGCACAAGGTACTGCCTTGTCAAATCCTTGTGTCGTACACTTGAAGCTAATGTAACATTGTGCATCAAGTATATATACTTCCATAAATACATTTCTTTTAGGACTTAGTGCTTCTGTTACGAAAGAAGCAGGAAAGAATGGTGTTCTAGGGCCTCTCCTTCATACCACTTCTTGTTCAAAAGCTTGCAGGGCCACCCACTGAATTAAGAATATGCTCCTCATCCTGGCATTCAAGACCTAGCACGATGTGGCCTCAGCTTACTCACTGTCTATGCATACTACAAAAACAGGGCTGTGTGCTTCTTCCACATTTTCTTGCCTCTCCCTGCAGTCCCAGTTAACCTCTCTCGAAAAGTCTTTCTTAATCCCCCTCCCTCCAGCTGTGCTTGCTCTGTGTACCCCAGAGGTGTGTTAATAGTTAACCCTCAGTTGGGAGTGAGGAACTCCCTGCCCTGCTGGCACTTTCATTGGACATAAGTGTGGTGTGGTGTTGGGGGTGCCTTATGCCATGCCTAGTGTTTGAACTAGCAAAACCTCTAAGTAGGAGCTGGTGCTTTGGGGCTTCTTCCAGGGACTGGCTGCTCCCTAGCTGCTCTGCCCACATGTGAAGCAAACCAAACAATAGGTTATCTGCTCCCAGCCTCCCCAACAGTTGGTAAAGTGCTTAACTTTCTGCTTTCTTTTTCTCTCCTTTTTTCCCCTTAATTCCTCTCCTTCTGCTCTACCATTACATTTCTTTGCTCTTTTCATAATTTTACACGCCTCTTCCTTGGCAGTATGTAGTACAAAAATTATTGATTCTTGTATTTAGATACCTTCCCCTACAACACTTAATGTGTTTTCTCTGGATTCTAGATATGTAAGTACCAAATTACAAAATACCTTAAAAGTGGTCCACTCTGATACCATTCACCAGCACCAGCACCACCGTCATCTGATGCTTGAAACTCTCAAATAGGTTGGAGTATTGTTCAGCAAGAATTTCCTCCCTTCTTCCTCCCACTTGGATGGGAGTATATTTACTCACCTTTTAGATTTTGAGCTTGACCATGTGACCTACTTGGCCAGTGAAACAAGTGGATGTGAATCAAGCGAGGCATCAACATGTTTTACGGAGTTGCCCTTGGACTCCGGCTTCCGTGTGACTCAGCCCAGGTAGATGTTGCCCCGTTAGCCTGGTATCAGAACAAAGATGAGAAATGTGTCTGAAGCCAGCCTGCAACTGCAAACCCATCTGCCTTGCTGCCTAAAGAAGACATCCCAGGCCACCCACGGACCTATAAGTGAGAAAAATAAATGCTGCTGTTAAAACCTACTGAGTCTTGGAGTCACGTGTTATGCTATATCATTGTGGCAGTAGTTGAATAATATAAATCCTCTCTTCCACATCTGTTCCAGTTATCTATCTTTATATAACAAGCCACTCCAAAACATAGTGGCATAAAATTACAACCATTTTTTTATGCTCATGACTTTGTAGGCCAGAAATTCAGACTAGTTCTCTGGCTGGGATGCTTAATGACTGGAGCTGGCTGGGGTAGCTCAACCAAGGCCATGTTCCTGTGGCCTCACTTCTGGCTATCTGCTGGGATCCTTGGTTCTTTACCACATTTCATTGACTCAGGCTAGAATGTCTAAGATAGCTCTTTCATTCACACCACTGGTGCCTGGGCTAGTGTGGCTGGAATGACTGGGGCTGGCTGGGCATCTGTCTCTCTCCTGTCTGTCTCTCTGTCTCTCCGTGTGGCTAGCTTGGACTTCCTCACAACATAGTGATCGATCTCTGTGTAGTCAGACTTCTCATAGTGGTTGACTCTTCTCAGATGGAGTGTTCTAAGAAATCTCATTTAGAAGCTGCAAGACTTCTTCTGACCTAGCCTCAAAAGTTCCAGAACATCACTTATCTCACACTTTGGTGGCCAAGAAAGTCACTAAAGCCAGTCCTGATTCAAGGAGGAGAGTTAGGCTCCACCTCTAAAAGGGGAAGTAGCAAAGAATTTGCTGCCATCTTTGATTCACAGTAACATCCTTAACCCTCAACTATGCATGCATTCTAGAACAGCGCTACACACCTATGTCGCTCTTCCCGAACATGCCCTCGCTCTGACGTCTCTTTGGACACCTCTGTTAGAAAGTTCCTTTGGGATCATTTAGCCATGTTTTTAAAACCATGACTGCATCCTCTATCATCAAGAAGAATTTGTTTCCCTCACTAAATCAACGCTATAGATTTTTTTACTTATGAAGTGGTAAGAATGGCGGTTTTCCTACATTGTCAAAGTGATTGTTTTTCACTCCCAATATACTCATGTATTGGTGAATCATTTGTATTATACACATTTCCAGGCTTCTGCTAGTAAAGTAATCTCAGTTCGAATTTCACATCTGATACCAGTTGAGTATTTTCCACATTATTTCACTAGAATGATAATGGCATCACTAGAATCACAAAGCAGGAATTATTTTCTGCCATGAATGGACTGAAAAAGGAAAATGTATCACTCACAGGCAAATTTGGATTCTAGAGTACTTCCTTACCTTTACAGAGAGATACTAGGTAGTTTAACGATTATAGCTAATAATACTATTTAAAAAGTTAAACTTTAGTCTAATTCTTTCCATGTCAGCAAAACACAGCCCTGTAGAGGATGCAATGTGATTTTTTAAAAAAAGGAATATTTGCCTTTCAAATAGATCAGATTACTTAACCAACAAAGCAAGCAAGGTGAAAATCCAAAATAATGAATAGTGACTTTTCTTCCATGGTGGATACCTTAGTGTGCTATGACATTGTGGAGTCAAAGTACTGGTGACTTCATAATCTGTAATCCTCCTTCAAGGTTCCCCCCCAGTATCATCTCTATCCACAGAAAAGAAGGAAAAGCAAAAAGGGGGTCGTAAAAATGCCCCTAGAACCAAAAGTTCAGGCTCAGACTCAGATAAACACAGTGAGTCAACACTAAAAGGGAATTTGGTCAGAGTAGGAGTAAAACGTAGGATGAAACAGAAATGTCTCTATGGTTTTAGTGAATACCTAAAGCTGTGTTAACTCACACGTTCCTCTTAAACAGAACAGTGAAATAAAAGCATCAGAAGAAATGAGTTACATGATGGGAATATAAGTTAGTTTGGTGTCTGTGTTTTGTGGACAAAGTTTCTAAGGGGAGAGATTTAATTCAATGATACAACCAGACGTCTATTGAGTTGCTTACTAAATATAAATCACTCTGCAAGGTCCATAGAGTGAAATACAAGAAAAAGAAGTATGGGTTACTTGGGGACCTGATCAAAATGCATATTCCTCAGCCTGGAGGATGGCCTAGGAGCCTGCATTTCAACAAGCCAATCCTCCTCTCCTGTATTACACTGCCGCACGATTCAATTAAAAAGTATTTACAAGGGTATTGAGTGAACAGAGGGTTTTTTGTTTGTTTTGTTTTGTATTGTTTTTGTATTGAGTGAACAGAGTTTAGAATGAAAGGGAAATTCAAGAAAAGATATAGGGCTAGGCTTTTGAAGCCTATAAACCAAGTCCTTTTTACTGAGTACGGATCTTTCTTGACTTAAAGGGTTACATCCCCAAATTGAAAATATTGTAAGTTGAACATGCATTTAAAATACCAAAACTATGGCCCGTCATAGCTTAGCTTAGCCTACCTTAAGTGTACTCAGAACACTTGCATTAACCTACAGCTGGGCAAAATCACCTATCCATGTCATTAATTGAATACTGTACTGAAGGTGAAAAAAACCAGAATGATTGCAAGGTACAGAATGGTTGTAAAGTGTATTGGCTATTGACTCTCTTGACTGTGTGGTTGACTGAGAGCTGGGGCTGCCACTGCCCCAGCATCATGAGAGAGGGTCTTACTGCATTGCTAGCCCAGAAAAGATCCACATTTAAAATTTGAAGTACTATTTCTACTGAATGCATATCAGTTTCACACTATGGCAAAGTAAAAAAATAATAAGTTGAACCATCATAAGCCACACCACCTGTACAATGCTAAGAAGAGAAGCAGATGGGATTAGAGGGGAGGGTAGAAAACAGATATCAATTAGAATGAGTTATGGCTCTCCCAAGAACTTATTAAGCCAGGAGCTAGGACTTTCTGAGGTCTGGTTGGGAAACAGTGGTGGACTTTTGAAAAGATAACTAACCTTACAAGTAGAACTCAATGGTGTTCAAACTTGACTCTCAACAGAATCATCTAGAAAGAGTTTAGAAAGGATAGATTCCAGGGCTCCAACCCTGGAAATTTTATTTTTGTAGTTCTGGGGTAGGACCCATGTATCTGTATATTTTTTTATTCTTCCAGTTAACATATAAATCAGATATAACAACCAAATCCAATGGTATCTTAATTAAAAGAAAAGCAAAGCATAATTTTGAGACCATTAGGGAAAGTTCATGTATGTCAAACCTAATGTTGAGTTTCTTAGATGTGGCAGCTATGTTCTGGGTAATAGGACAATGGCCTCATTCTTGGGAGAGTGAGGACAAGTATTTAGGGATAATGTCATGGTGTCTGCACACTATTCTCAGGTGGCTCGGCAAAGGGCAAGTATGTGTACATATACAGAGAGCAAGGCAGTGAGGGAGGTAAGATGTTAACGCCTTATAAAACTAGGTGAGGAGTATATGGATGTTAACTGTTTTGTTCTTGAGACTTTTCTTCAGGCTAAAAGATTTTCAAAATTATAAAACGTTAATTTTTTATAAGAGAGCATAAATGAAGGGGGAGGGGTAGTGCATGGGAAAGGAAGGCTCCCATTCTTGATTTTGTTGCACAAGAGATTTGAGTACCATTACTGGAAGGTATCGGTTACAAAAACTTGAAGCAGTGAGGGAGAGGTCACTGTGGGCTACAACTGAGGTTCTCCACTCATTTTCCTCTAGGACACACATGACAAATGATGCTTACACGCAGTGCCCACAGCTACAGGTGAACCTAGGCTTAGATGTAATTCCTGGCCATTGACCTGTAACGCAACAGATTTTCCTCCTACTTCAGAAAGAATGTTTGCCTGCAAGTAGGTGATGTTATCATATGGATAACTTTGAGTTCATTCAAATTTATTGTTTTATTTTTTAAGTTGATTTATGTATTTTGAGAGTATGCCTGCATGAGAGCGAGAGAGGAGCAGAGAGAGAGAGAGAGAGAGAGAGAGAGAATCCCAAGCAGTTACCACGCTGTCAGTACAGAGCCCAATCAGCAGAGTTGTCTAGTCGCCTGCCCCCCACCACTCTGAGAAATTTGAGCAATAAACACCATCATTGTGTGCCATGGAGGTTTTGTGGTTCTTTGTTACAGTGTTAGTCCAAATCAGCTAAGAAGCAGATGCCAAGATGGAATGAAACGTACGAGGATTTTATTCAGGGAATACCAATGGGAGAGAAAATAGGGAGGGAACTGTGACTGTCAGAAGGCAATGCAAGTCTGACCCAGATGAAGGAAAGACGGAAGGAAAGTTGGGTAGAAATGTCTGCCATGCAGTCTAAAGAAAGTTCAACAAGGCTATTGGGGAGCTCAGCCAAAGTCAGCTGTTAGAGAAGTCTCGAGCTTCCCAGAAACAGTTCTGCCTTAGAATCCCCACTACACGCAGCCATTGGCTGGGAGAAACCTGTGGGAAGCATGGCCTTGGCACAAAATTGGTAGTGTGATGTTGTGGGTTTTAGAGCACACTAATTGGCCAACTAGACTCATAAGTCTGCTAGGTGTTTCTTTCATGGCTGCCAAAGCTACATAGCATTATTGTGGTGAGATTTAACAGACAGAGGCATCGAGAAGCTACTTACTTATAGAAGAGCAGTTCTTAACACGGATGATATTGCCTCCTAGGGAGAGTTTTGGAAATGAATGGGGGGGCATTTCTTGGCTGTCATCATGATTGAGGGGGTGCTATTGGCATTGAGCGGGCATTGGCCAAAGATGCTTGATGTCCTGTAAATCCCTGGACCATTCTGCACAACAAATCATTGTGTTCTTCATGAAGTTTCAATGTCCTAGATGATATCCACAAGGGGAATAATCTGTTTAAAATGAACTGAGCCAGGGGCGCTTGGGTGGCTCAGTCAGTTAAGTGTCCGACTTCGGCTCAGGTCATGATCTCACAGTTCATAGGTTTGAGCCCCACGTTGGGCTCTGTGCTGACAGCTAGCTCAGATACTGGAGCCTGCTTTGGATTCTGTGTCTCCCTCTCTCTCTGACCCTCCCCTGCTCACACTGCCTTTCTCTCTCTCTCAGAAATAAATAAAACATTAAAAAAAGTTTTTAATTAAAAAAATAAAATGAACT